GCTGTCACAAAAGGTATAGTAATCCCACCTGAGGCTTCAGACACATTTGGAAGGATACCTTGTCAGTCTCCAGCATCCCACTAATAAAGGCAAATGCCTTCCTGAGGCCGGCAGACATCATGTGAAGCAGAACTGCCCATAGGAGCTCAGCCCAAACTGCCAACCTATATGACTATGGTCAAATAGATCATTGCTGTTATAAGTCCTGGACAATGTATGTAACTTTCTCAGACTCTTACTTCATCCAAGAACAAAAATACTATCTATCTCATTTGTAGGGAAAAAGTGAGATAACTTATAAAAAACATTGTCTATACCTTGTAAGTATTCAATAAATGGTAGTCAATAATGTGAATAATAACAATAACAACAACAACCTGTAATACTCAAAATATCCAAGATAGTGTTTTGTTTTGTTTTAAGTTGGAGTCTCACTCTGCCTCCCAGGCTGGAGTGCAGTGGCATGCTCATGGTCACCGTAGACTTGACCAGCTGGGTTCAGATGATCCTTCCACCTCAGCCTTCCAAGTAGCTGGAACTACAGTCGTGCACTACCATGACCGGCTTATTTTTTGATTTGTTGTAGAGACAAGGTCTCACCAAGTTGCCCAGTCTGGTTTCCAAACCCTGACCTTAGGCAATCCCCTCACCTTGACCTTCCAAAGTGCTGGGATTACAGGGTTGAGTTACCGCTCCTGGCAAGATAGTGATTTAAAAGCAGTTTTGGATGAGACTGGATTCTCCTAGGCCTAAGTTCTTTCCTCCATACAACCCTGCTTCTCTATATTTGCCTTTCTCTAGGGTAATTATTTAATTGGGAAAATAAATAACACAACAACACTGCATTTAGAATCAGCAATTTACATATTAATAATTACTTTTATGTAGTCCGTGATGTCTCAGAAGGTAGAAAAATCTATAAACCATGGATTAACTTAAGAGAGAGATTTGAGGTCAATAAAAGGAACACATTTCTAACATAGATCTTATACTTATAACAGGCTGTATTGCCTCAAAGATCTAGCACATTCCTTATCACTAAAGACATTCAAGAACAGATTACATTTCTTCTGTCAGGACTACTGACATATGAGCTTAGAAAGTTGGGCCAGAGGATTTGTATGTCTCTTCTTAATATTTTGTGATACATATTCTGTTTTCTCAAAAGTTCTCTGCATTTTAAGGGTTTATTCAACAACTTAAGTTTAAAAATACAATCTATGCATTTATAAATTCCACTGACATTTCATTTTTAGACATGTATAGATGTACTATAGAAAGTAACGTAGGATATGAATATTTTTTAGTTGGCCTTTTCTCCTTTGATTAAGATCAATGCTGAAAACAGTCAATTGTTTTAAGAGCTAACTGTCTTTCATGTGTCTAAGAAAAAAAGAAACTCAATGTGCTGTTGCCAAAAAAAAATCTATTGTTTCATTTAGCCAACGAATATTTATGAAACGTTTATTAAACCCCTCCTATACACTAAGCATTGTGCTTTGTGGTATAAAGTTGTATTTTACAGAAACAGCTACAATCAATACTTTGATTCCAACAACATTATGAAGAATCTTAAATATTTTCAGTTTTTAACATACTGTATTATGTTGAGAGAGACCCATTACATGTCTACCTAATTACCTAATCATCTGACACTTATTAAAACCAAATATATTCAAGACGTCTGAATCAATTACAAGTTTATATATAAATATATAGCTTATAAATGAAGGGAAGTGTTGCTTAGGTTTGAATTTGATTTAGGATAGTAATAAACACGTCTTAGTTTATTTATCTGTGTAGTGATAAAGACATATGCAACTTGCAGTTAGATGTTGTAGATTTGCAGAATATAATATGCAGCTCTCTGAGAGGACAAAATTTATGGAGATGATTAATGAAAACAAAATGTTTTTATCTGCTTATCGATATAATGTGAACTCAGGTCAAGGGGTTATTTTATGGGAAGACGAAACCATTTCTAATTTTCCCTGTTAAACAGAGCACTTCTTTGTTTTGTCATGATAATTTAGCTTTAATCAATCTTGGCAGAGCGATTTCTCGCCCACCTTTTAAGATTTAAACTTAAAGCCAACATATATTTATATTAAAAAAACTTATAGTCATATTTTAATATAATTTTGTCATCTTTATAAAACATAAATAGAATCTCAAGATAAGCCATCTAGTTATTTTGGAACATTCTTGAAAAGATCAATTTGGGGAAGAAGAATATAATTAATAAAAGCCATCTCTGATGTTATTTAACACAAAAGCAAACAGATCTTTTTATACGTGACATTAAAAATCTGATCATTTTCCTCCTTAAAGTGCATACAAGCTTTTATATAGACTGCACAGTAGAGAATAATAATATTTCTGTTTACTGAGATATCAACTGGCGTTTCATTGTAAGTCAATGGTCTGTCGGTGCCACAGCGCATTAGACCTCAATCTGGCATCTACAAATGTCAAGAGCATAAAAAATATATATAGGATGAAAATCAAAAGCATGTTCTGCACTCCCAAAAAAATAAAGCAAGGGAAACAAAGTTCACCTAAATGTATTTGCTGCAGAAATCAGTGCAATATTCAGCTGTCAATCTCTAACGACAGCGAGGAAGCCACACTGTCAGTAGGACAGGGTAATAAAATTTCTAGCAGGTGTTCAGTCAGGGCTCTAATTTTTACTGAACTCCCTTGGTAAGCATTTAATTTCTTTATCATATGCAGGTTCGGCAAATTGCACTTCATCAAAACTGTATTGTGAAATATTAATATTTCATATGATAACAAAACTCCATAGAACACCTTTGTCATATTAAGATCATCCAGATTTCAAATGTCAAGATTCTGAATTTTAATACATCTTAAATAGATTCTTGAATTGGCATAATAAATTATAATTAGGCTCATCTAAATTGGTATGCTATAATGTCACACAAATGTATAGTACATAAAATTTTTTAGTAGACATCGTTAGTAAAAGGCTGTGGGAAAAACATGCATTCATACTACTGAGTTGTGTACTACAACGTTTCATCAGAAAGAAGCTCATAAGACGTAATTACACATTCATAACATGTTTAACCACTAATTGGGAACCATATAAAAAGAAATAGGTCTCCATGAGGTAAACAGACAGCTCTGCAAAACGGTGTATGCAATTGGAATTATACAAGCCCGTGGTAGCATCATCACTCTTGTCACTGCAATTTGCACAAACATGTTTAAAATTGTCTGCACAATATTTTGTTATATCCACCATCAAAGTAAGTAAAATAAGCCTTCCTGAAAGCCCACATCATTATGTTTCATGTGCCAAATTTAATTTGCATTTGTTCATAACTCCCCTTTTGAACCAGCATCACAGACTTCTAAACTGATAGATTAAATTCAAATTGGAGGTTTAGAGGGAAGTTCACTTCCACATTTATTTCTGGTGGTGATCCTAATAAAGGCAACTGCTCCTAGGTTACCAAAAGATGCAGCATCACAAATCAATGCATGTCACCAACAGAGTCAAGACTGGTGGCTCCGGTTAATCAGAATTCAATTTTTGTAAGCAAAGAAAACATCAAATTCAAAGCAGCAAATGCCTTTTTAAAATAATTATTCACTTGTATTCAATTAGCCACCTATTTCTATTTACATATATTTTAAAAATAACATGACTGATTTAGTCAGTAAATGCTATCTGAGACTCAGTTTTCTCCAACAGATGAAACATTGGACAACAACTTCCCAGTTATTGTTAAAGGATGAATTGAAACAGAGACAAACATCGCTCAATATCCTACAAGGTTGTAAACAATTGATTCATGATATTCTACAGCTGAATCCACCATAACCTTATTACATTTCATCTAATGTAAGTATTTCTAATATTGAGCCAATTTGTTTGAAAAAAAAAGAACCTCTCTTTAGTTAGTTGAATATAAAAATCTTGAGGTATGTTTTCCTGCACCGGTTTTTCCAACTTTTGAGGAATCTGTAGATTTTCTTGACCACACTTACACAGAGCATCTTGTAAAGCTGTCAGAATAAGACAGCCTTAGTGTTTTAGCCGTAATAATGCTGGCTATTGATTCTAGTAAGAGGAGAAGGAGGGAGAGAATGTGCTTAATGGGGCATGTTTGTTCTCTATTATTTTCTTTGCCTAAGGATAAGACTGGTTCAAATAATGATACTCTTTCAGTCACTAGATTCACACATTCTTATACATTAATTATTGCTAACTATCAGTTAGTACTAAGAACATCGAGAGGCTTAGCATTCATAATTTTTTCAATAAGTGCTCTTAAAAATGTTAAATTCAGCTGCTCTTTTCTAATTCAAAATCACATAAAGATGCAATCCTTTACTGGATAAGCCACCCTACTTTGAAAACATGCAGTTACATGCTTTGTGTACTTTTAAAAAATCAATCTCAACTTGAATAGGTAGTTACTTCCTACTCGGTACAGAATGTTCAATTTTAATATGAATATGACCTCATAGAGTCAAATGAAACTCAAGGTATAGGTGTTTGAGAAAAGTTTATGTATTCAAAATTCATGAAAAATCCATCTTTTTACCATCACTAATGAATTTCACGGACAGACTCATTTTGACATGAATTGGATCCTAGAATTTCGTGCAAACCAAATCCATTGTCTTTTTAACTTTGAGTTGAGGTATAAGTCCTCATTCACACACATTCAGAAATCAGAAAACAATTAATAGTGTCAAAATGAGAATTAATGAGTTTGTGATTATTAAGTGACACAGTCGCTTTTGTAGGATTTACAGTTCTGATGCTTCCTAGACAATACCAGGTGAGAAATGCACGCCCCACCCTTCCCTCCACGGGACAGAGAGAAAGGAAGGGGTGATAGGTCTAGTCCAAGAGTGTCATGACTGCTGTTATTTAGTCAAAAAAGTCTTTCAGTTACAGTACTTATGACTCAATTAAAGCAGATGACAGACATTGAGAGATGATTTCAAAAATATCTTCTTACCTTATCAAGAGAGAAAGTTTTGGTCAGGGCAAAGCCCCACCCAGCTTCAAAAGCTCGCCGAATCATGGCTGTGCTGGTGGCTGGAGTTGCACTAGCAAGACCAAAGGGATTCATGAACTTCAGACCAGCCAATTCCACGCTGATGTCCACCATGTCCACAGGCGTGTAGAAAAGGGGCAGCGCGGGCTCAGCAGACACAGATGCTCCATACAGCGACTGGAAAACACAGACCCACATGGCTCAGGGGTCAAGTTTACACTGTCCATACGTTACAAAATTACTTCAATAAGGCATCTGAATTAATTACATCAGCTTGTTTACAGAAAAACGTTGGCAAAAAGTCAGCGAACAGTGAACCCAACTCATATAATACCATCCTTCTTGTAATTTCATAGGCAGTATGGAGAGTATTAACAGAAATAAAATCAATTAAATAAGCAAACAATTCTATTTAAAACATACACAGCTTCAAACACAAAAGGGAATAATTTAAGAATTTATCTCCCTCATCCCATTAGCCCAGCCTCTTTGTACTTAATTCACGAAAATGTCTTTAGAGCCCAGAGATATGGACAACAGCAAGTCAGGAGGCCTAAATTCAATTTCCTGTAATCTCGCTACTGTTTCTTTGGTTTTAGGAAGCCTCCTCACACATGCCTGATTCTTCCGTACAGTTTCCAGTACAGCAGTAGGATGCCGCTTGCCTAACTGCCTACCTCTCAGGGACACGTGGGAACATGCAGGAGATCAGGAGCCACAGGCAGACAGTAAACTTGAAAGTGGATAGTGGACCCAAGGGCATTAGGGGAGGTGCTTTTTTGTTGCTGTCCACCCCCCCCCCACGAAAAACAAACAGTTTCTGTCAAAATCTTCAACTGGCATGCAAAACTGTACATTTACCTTTGCTAAAAGACCACTGTAATAATGCTATCTTGCAGGGTTATAGGAATGATGTAATGAAACCACTTATGCATAGCACATGGCACACTGGAGTTCAGTACAGAGGCGTTGGCTAAATGCTGATTCCTTTTCTAACTGGGGAGATTATTAAAGCTCTCACTAGTCCTTTTATTTGTAAAGTCTTTTTCTCTTCCTCCTCCTCCTCCTTCTCTCTCTCCCTCCTCTCCCTCCTTCCTTCTGTCTCTCTCTCTCCCTCCCTCTTTCTCTCTCTCTGAAAGACAAATAATACTGGGAAATATAAAACAGGATGCGTTTTCTCAGCCACAGTGGCTACTGAATGAACAGGGCCAGTTAATTCCAAAACAGAACTCCTTCCTCTTGTGAATCATGACTCAAAAGAAAAGTTATTTGAGCAGAACTTTAATTTTACATGAGTGTGTCTTGTGTGGATAAAGATTAGCATGACTTGCATAGAAATTATTTCTGGCCCACCACCATTTATAATGCAAAGCGAAGCTCACTTAATATGTAAAAAAGCATCAAATGCGTCCACTGAAACACAAAATGTTCCTGGTTCCTGCAAAGGAGTGGCTGATGGCAATCAGTCTTCAGCCACAGCACACGCCTTTTGCCAGGGACACCCTGGGTCTCCAGGTACATTTCTGGTGTTGGTCAGTCTGGTTGTCAACATAATTTCTCCTGTCCTCTCATGCAATTGCAACAGAACTAAAAGAATTATTAGCAAAGACAAAGGCTGTAGTGTGTAATATAGAGAAACGGGAGTAATTTGAGGTGTATGCCTATGTGTACCCACACAAGAAAGCAGAAGAAAACCACCCTTGATGACATTTTATTAGCTCTGTGTCATTATAATTTCAATGGAATCAAGCAAGTTTTAGGTTAGACTAAGGAAGAGTTTCCTGACACCAGGGGTTGGTCAATACTGAGAAAATTTTAGAAACACCTTCCTATTTGTAGAATCTTGGAAACAACATGAAACAACCTTGTCTCTGATGCCAACAGCAAAAACACACAGGTTCCTATCTACTATACTTTATAAGGGGAAATAAATGACCCTACAAGTTCTCTTCTCTTTTTGTGACTGTGTACTGAAATATCTAATCTTTTCAATCTTACAGAAGAATGTTGGTTTGTTCATAACTGTAGCTATATATGGCATTAGGCAACAGCCCAAGTAGGAAGACATATACATGCAGTCAACTTGCATTGCTTAACTCATGTTGTTTTAAATAAACAAAGCATTGCTCTGAGATTTTTGAGAGGGCTGTTGCCTTAAAACTTAGAAAGGAGATGATTTGGACAAATTTTGCAAAATTTTCCTTAAGCTTCAAAGCAAAAACAAAAAACAAACACACCAAATAACAAATAAACATATACAAGGGGAGACCCTTCTCCCCAAAAAAGAATTCTCTTTTGGAGGGTGGGCCCCTTGCAGTATAGGCTTCCCTCACTAGGTAAGTGTTCCAGAAACCTATCAGCATCAGTGCAATAGCTGTGGGAGGCTGTGTTTGGCTTTAATTTTTTTTTAGATTATTTCAACGCATTTGCCCATTTCGTGATGGGTGATTTACAAGTGCACCTGCCCACACTGGGCTGAACATTCAGCAGTTTTGGGCTAAAAATGACACGACCTCCGTGCCCTACCCTCCCTATTCACCTAATTTCACTCCAGGTGACATTTTTTTGTTTCCCCAATGAAAAAAGTTATTAAAGGAATAACTTTACCAGTGTGGAAAAGGTGAGACAAAAATGGCAAAAGCATTAGAAGACATCAAAATTGGTAAGTTCAGAAACTGTTTTGAGCAGTGGAAAAAGCGTCTCGATAGATATACTGAATCAAACGGAGAGTACTTTGAAGGGGATTGAAGTTTAAACATGTGAGGAGAAATACATAATTTTGTATAAATAAATTTTGTTTTGGGGTGTGTCCCCCCTCAGATGCACACACAAAATTCTTTCAAATAAAAAATACAGTTTTTTTTTTACAAAATATATATCTTCTTGTAGTCACAAAAAATGCGCCGATGTATATGTGTGTATAATTTAACCCAACTTCTACCCTTGTCCCAGGCAGTCTTTGTTCCTATTTTGTAAACATAGGGCTATTGTGGGTTTTGTCTTTGTGGCACTACAGCCACCCAGTCTGTTCAACCTCATTATATATGCACATCTCCTTTTCAGAAATGTACAAGCCTGTTCCTCCTCTGCCTCTTGCTCAAGGAGCATCTCAAGTGTCAGTGCTCCTCATGAGGTTAGTTCCTCCCAAATCCCAACTGCAATATTTAAACTCAGATTTCCAGGAGACCTCAAGGTCTGTGGCTGTGAATGCTTTGCCCTCACCTCAAATTCAACTCCTTATCTCACTGTATTCCCTTCTAGGGCGACATTATCCAAATTGTCAGCTTCACGCAATGCTATTTTTCCAGTCATTCAATAGTGTTGGTAAATAATAAATCTAAGAAGACAATTTAGATACTGAGCAATGGAGATTGGCTCCATAATGGTTCTGCTGCACAAAAGAATACCTGTTAGCATCAGAAATGATACAGAAGAAAACAATGTATTGACATGAAGAAGCATTTATCATATACTAAGTGAAAAAAAAGAGTGGGTTAACATTATATGTAAATCCAAAGTTTTTGGTAAAAAATCCATATATATCTATTTTGATGTATGTCTCTGCTTATCCATCTATCACAAAGGATAAACATGAATATGCTAACAGAATTATCTCTCAAAATCAGGGTTTTAGGTAATCTTTGATTTTTAAAGTTTTGCTTGTATTTTTCATGTTTTCAATAATGGGACAAATTAATTTTATTAATTTCTATGAGATTAATTTTATATGAGACAAATAGACTAACTTATGTGCAACAAATAGATGTAAAGGTATACTGAAACAATTTTTAAAAGAAGTAATGATATTCTAAAACCCGTTAAGTGGAGATCAAGGTAAATAGCTTGTTATTCAGTTTCCTCCACAGACTGTCCTAAATCAACCATTTCAGTTATATTTACTTATATTATTCATAAAAGTAAAAATAGAGAACCAGAACAACCAAATAGATGACCTACTTTAAAAGTTTTATTTTACAAAGAGAAAACTAAGGCCAACAGAGGTTTAATAAATACCTGTGAGTTATTCAGTTGCAAAACCATAATAAAATGTATATTTTCTCTCTTGTTGGCTGATGTTCTTAAGCCTATCCTCAGAAATAAAATGTCTGAACTATTCCTTTTGAACCAAAGGAATCAAAAGCAATTCCTTTATGTCTCCTTGTCTCTGCACTCTTCTCATTCCAAATATTTATTAAGAATGTAGAATACAGAGATGAACAAAACAGACAAGGTCCATGAAGTTTATATACAGAACAACACAAATAAAGCTACCAAACTACCACCTAACACAAAATTTAAACTACAGATGGTTCATCACAGTTACATGTCTCCATACATTTTTTTTATGTTCCAATAAAACTTTATTTGCAAAAACAGGACAATGTGGTTGGGTTTTGTCCATAGGCTGCATTTTGCAGCATGTCTCCATACATTATCGTATGCATTTTCAACTGCCTAAAATACAAACCCAAGACTTTCTTTACCCATCAAACTCATCATTCTTCCAAACTCAACTGACTCATTCAAGCATATGCTTCCTGGGACACACTTTCTTAACACCACCTAAAGCCTTTTCTGATATAGCTCATCCTTTATCTGCTATTTCCCAATTTAAAATATGCCTCAACCTCAGCTGCCATCATACTTGGCTGTACATGTTAATTTTCTCTTCAAATCAACACACGCTCCTTGGGAAGAGTGACTGACCATATCCTAGTAAAATTATTTCTCCACTGAAATATAAAACACATATCTATATAAAACATTTTTACATATAGTTCTGCCCTCTGTGGAGACATAGATAAATAAAATCACTTTCTCACATGGCAATCATCAAATATGTTTCAAAGAACTATCATATACTTTTTAAATCCCCTTTTTTCCTCTAGACTAAAATTTTTATCTTTATAACTAATTTTAATAGAAAACACTTTTCAGTGTTCCAGTTGTCCTTTATTGAGACTTGTTTACCTGAAACCGAGGCATCTGTTAATGGTTGAAAGGGTTAATTATAAGAACTTGGATTTTGGCCGTTTCCCTCTCACCACCCTGTTCTAAAGCAAGAACCAACTTATAACCCGGATATTACCTTGACCTCTTTCATTGTTCAGAATATACTTCATGGAAAAACTGAAAGAAAACTGGAAAAGCAAAGTAAGTCATAAAAAATTGAGATG